AATATCATTTAAAATAATGGCGTGTGTAATGTCATTCAAAAGCACTCTGTTGACATTTGACATCTCGTATTTGGATTGACTATTAATTAAATGGCCGTCATCTGGTACGCTTGTCCACTGAATATAAAAAACTCACCATAAAAATCATATTTCCTGTTGAATTTTTTGTATAAAAATGTGTCATTGAAGTACAGGGTGATTCACCATAAATGTCCCCCCCTCTAGCTCACTCATTTTTGAACCGATTCAAAAATTTGAAAAATAATCTGAAATGATTTTTCAAAAATTTTTTTCCCGTTGCATCAGAGAATACAGGGTGCTCGGAACAAACGATCTACAGAGTACTACTTGATTTTTTCAAATGGAACACCCTGTATTTCATTGTATTTTTAGATTCTCCTTGAAAAGCTGATTTCATCAATACATCACACTTGGGGTCTAGCGGAAATGATTTCAGAGATATAGGGTGTTCAAAATCGGGATTTTTGAACTTTAGGATTTTTTTGTGTCGAAACTATTCATTATTGGTTAAAACGGCTCCTATGTCCCTATCTCAACTTTTGATTTACTATCTACTGACATTTAATTGAAACATTTACAGGGTGGTTCAAGTTTCAGAATTCTGATAACCCTGTATCTGTTCCAATTATTAAATGTCAGTGGATAGTAAATCAAAAGTTGAGATAGGGACATAGGAGCCGTTTTAACCAATAATGAATAGTTTCGACACAAAAAAATCCTAAAGTTGAAAAATCTCGATTTTGAACACCCTATATCTCTGAAATCATTCCCGCTAGACCCCAAGTGTGATGCATTGATGAAATCAGCTCTTCAAGGAGAATCTAAAAATACAATGAAATACAGGGTGTTCCATTTAAAAAAATCAAATAGTACCCTGTAGATTGTTTGTTAGGATCACCCTATATTTTCTGATGTAGCGGAAAAAAACTTTATCGAAAATCATTCAAGATAATACTTCGAATTTTGAAATCGGTTCAAAAATAACTAAGCTAGAGGGGGGGACATTTATGGTGAATCACCCTGTACATCATGAGTATATGAAGTGTCCAATGACAAAATGAGAAGAGCAAGTACCTGTAAATGCATCCAACACAAGGGTAAAAAGGACTTGAAATTTCGAACTTTTAAATATCTTGATAAATAGTGGTTTGTTCACATTATCATTGTCAAATTCGTGTTTTTCAGTCAAAAATACGTAAGTACCAAGAAAAAATTTCGAAAAAAAAAACACCGCATGCTAAATGCAGTTTTACCAAAAAAACGGCCTTTGGTGGGTTATCAATTTTACAGCTTATTTTTCAATGATTATTGAAACAAATTCAATTTTAATAAAGATGAATACTGGGTACCTGGAAAATATTCACGAAAGTGAAGGTAATTTGTTCCTAGTTATTTCAGTTCTGATTTTTTTTTTGCGTTGAAAGACCTAAATCATTTTTTTAAGTTATTCAAACTATTTGTTCATTGATAACTTGCCCTGCTCTCCTACAAGTAATAGCACTATTTGGTGAACAATAATATTCAACCACAGCAGTCTTACAAATCCCTTTACATAGTTATCCACATAGAATTTACTATAAATAGTTAAAACACAGCCAAATTAACGAAAATTAAACTAGCAGGATCTCAAACAGCCCACAGTGCTTCCATGGAATATCCAACAAGCCATTGCTTAAAAAACCTTACTAATTTCTAGACTTGCTTTTCCACGAGGGCACTGTGTAACTTCAAAGACAAGGTAAAAAAAGCTACTAACGTGTTTTTGGTACAGCCGAGAAGCTCTTTAGCATGGACCGTTTAGGCTTCTCTCTTTTCTTTTCAGGGTACTTGTGGTAGACCTGCTTCATTTCAAAACAAACTGGTGAAAATGCCTCTGCACTGGCAGTTTGACGTTTCCTCATGTTGTTGCCAGTGTAAGCTACACCACGCATTTGGTACTCTTGGGTATCATTGTTCCACATCAAGTGAGACAGAATTTTTTTCTAGAAAAAAAAACAAGATGACAATTTGTTTTCCACACCACATTTTCTTCTTACCAAATATTCCTGTGGAACATAGTTATCAATTATAAGATTAGCAAGTTGTGTTTCTCTAACAAGCAGTTTGTTATTGTCAAAAAGTGCTTCTAAATCTCGCTGGTATTCACGTTCTTTATCAGAATGATCCTCTTTGGCTTCCTTGATAAACATCTGGATTTTCTTCAGCTTTTTGGAGAGACCGGCATCTTCTTCTTGGAGAGAAGAGTACTGTTCTTCAACATCAATTTTTTCTACAGCTTTTTTGTTCAATTGCTCTTCTAATTGTTGGTGACTTCTATCTAGATCTTCCAGTTCAGCTGCAGATGATTCCAAGGAAAACATTTGTTGCTGAGCTTTTTCCAGTAAATTTTCTCCCCCAACTAGGATTTTCTTCTGAATGAGGGCCATTTTCTCTTCTAGTTCTAACTTCTTTCTCCTAAGATGATGAAGACAGGCACAGGCATTAAAAATAAATCAAATATCATCAACTCCAAACTTACTCAGTTATTTCTATTTCTATAGCTGTTTGCTTCAATTTTTCCTTCTCTACAGCACTTACAGCTCTTTCCCTTTTTTTCTGAAACAAAATATTAAACAGTAAATGAGGGCTATAAGGCAATCAAACTGAAACCATGATATACCTGTTCTTTCTTCTGTTCTAGCACAGACAGCTCAGTGAGTTTTTGTTGTAATTCAGCAATTTCTAGCTCAAATCCTTCAATAAGACCTTTTTCTTCAACATTGATCTTCACACAGTTCTTAATATACTTCACTCTAGCAGCATAACGTAAAGTACACATACTTTCTTCAAAATCTATATCAGCTGGACTCACCATAGCAATCTGAAGAATATTTACAATGTTCAGCATCAAATATTTTGTGTACCTATACTAACCATGGCAGTTTTTGAATTTCCTCCCAGAGAATCTTGGAGCAACCTGGTCAATTTTGAATTTCTATAAGGTATGTGTGTACTTTTGCCGTCCACAAGTGCTGAAATGACATTTCCCAGTACAGACAAAGACAGGTTAATATTGCTAGCTTCTCTGAGCCTCTCACCAGTAGCTTGGGTTCTACTGGCTCTCTCAGATCCCTGAAAATATGTTTATTGAACTGTTCAGAGATTTAGGTGTCTTTACTTACAGCTAGATCAACAAGGTTCAGCTTCCCTACTGTTGTTTTATTATCTAATCTATTTTTTGACTCAATTGTAACAGTGAATATTGCATGAGATCTGCTACTAATATCATTCATCAATGTGGATTTGGTTACTCTGTTTTTGTTCCCTCTATTCAACAACTCTGTTATAGATTCTATAGAATCCACAGTGAAGCCCATGAGATCCTTGACATATACACCAATATCTTTCCTTTCTCTAATGGCTAGTTTTTTGTTCGGATCTCCTGATAACAAGTCTCTTACATCTTCATTATAAATCTCCAAATAAGTTACTTTCACCACAAAGGATTTTTCACCACTAGCTCTAGAGATTTGACTGAATATGTGAGAGAATGTGTTGGGAATTATGCCTTTCAGTTCTGGAACCAAATGGTTTCCAGCCATAGTGTAGGTTTTGCCAGTGCCTGTTTGTCCATAAGCAAATATTGTGCCATTGTAACCTTCTAGTGCTTTTTCTACAATAGGGAAGGCAATCATTCTATACATGTCCAGCTGAAACCAAGATATGAACAAAACAATATTGGAAAATTGAAATGGATTTACTTGAGCAGTGGTTGTTCCAAATATATGATCAAATTTGAAGGGTTTGCAATGTTCTCCATTCTTTTTCAAGGCAATTAAATTTTCTTTGTAATCACATACTGTAATATTTTCATTTCCATCTGCAACTTCCTTTTTACTAAGTGGACGAATTCGTATAAACACTCGTACATTTTCTTGAGATTCCAAAGTATCACCATTGAAATTTTCCATTTTCTGAAAATGATTGGATTGGAATTAGGTATTTGAAGAATATTCTATTTCTATTTACCTTGGATGTCACAATGGTTTACCTTGAATTCTATTTGCTTAAGGCAAATATTAAAGTAAATAAAATCTCTCAAAATACTTCACATTATTACATCTTGGCTTCTTGATTCATTCCTTATCCACTTCTCAGTTCTCAGTTTCTCACAACATTGGTTGACAAATGTCAAAAATATCAAAAATCGATCATCATAATCGCATAAAATAATCCTACTATGGAAACAGGTTGCTAACAAATACAAATACATCCACATTCCTTTCTGAAACGAATGTGAAAGCTAATAATCTATGACATGGACGTCCATGATCTATGATAAAGAATGGAAATTCATAAATTCATATTGCACAAAGATTATAGACAAAAGATTTGCTATTTTTCAACAAATTTAAATCCTTATACTAGGAATGTAGGAAAGGAAACATCACCATGTCATCCATGGAGTACCGTGACTTGCACATTCATCAATAGGTGGCGTGAGCGAATGCAATTTTAGTTGCATACATCTCAGGGGCACACCTGAATTTAGGCCCTTTCTTTTGTACGAAAAGTGTAGCACATTCGTACACTTCGTGTAATTTACACCGAATTTGAGCACTTTTGAAAAGTGCATTTCACACCAGTGTAGTTTATCTCTACCTAGTCTTGGGCAGGTGTGAACTACACTCAAATTCAAGAATATATAAAATCGCGATAAATCACTCGGAATACATCTGTGATTATATTTATAATACATAAACACCTATACCCGAAAACCAGTTACATCAAATACCGCATTTAAAAATCAAAATTGCACTCTTCCTCTTCAATTCAATTTTCTTCGTTCGTTTGAAATTCCTTGGTGTAGTTGCACGAAATATCAGCTGATTCATAGTGCAGTGCATTTTACACGACACTGAAAAGCAGACTCTCTACTGTGCTCCTACACTTCTGTTTGTAATCTTGATAATGAAATAGGATTTGAGGAAAAATGAAGGCTTTCGTGAAGAATTTTTTCAACAAATTTATTTTGAGACGTAATTTCTTAACAAGAACACATAACCTGCACAACTTTTAGACTGCTTTTGCTTGAACAAATAAATTATAAAATTCATATTCAACATCAATTTGTGAATATACACTAAATGAAAGAAATGAAATTATATTCCTAAATCTTCTTTGGTTTAGGTTTCTTTTTAGCATTATTAATACTCTGAACGATTTGATCGATCTGAGCATCATAATAATCATCATTCAGAGTCTTGTCATTGCTTGAAATTTTCGGAATCAAGTTCGTCAGAGCACTGATATTGAAATTAAATTTCTCCTTCAAGAAACTACCAACAACTTCTATATTATACGCTGCACATAATACTGCAAAAATAAACAATAAGCTCCAAATGGAGGTACGCTTGATAGGTTGCTCAGAAATATTATCTTTCACAGATACATGGAACTCAATAAGCTTAAACGACTCATTTGCACCAAAATGGTACAATTGAGGCTGATACTTTGTACTCTGCAAGAAACTGGATTCTAATTGAACGGTGTAGAGCTTATTGTCTATAGGCACCGAGGAAAGATGAACCAGAATACCAGGGTTTATAGCTTTTGTGAGCCTGAGAGACAAAGAATCAACTTTGACTGTTTGAATCACAGCAGAGGAACCCGATTCTCTTGCCAATTTAAGCTTGAGAGATTTATAATGATCGATATTCTCTGCGTAAATCCTGACCAGGATGTCCATTTGGGATGCTGGCCTGAAAATGATAAGACGGAGATCTCTCACGTCCGCCTTGATAGCCTGCAAAAAAATAAATAACTCAGGCTTTCAACCCAGAAAATCATCTACTCACATCAATTTTGATATATTCCGGAGCAGTCCTCTCCACAATGTAATCCTCATTGAGGCTACCTTTAACGACCACCCTGTAAGAGCAATAGGGCTGCAACCCCCTGATCCTGAACTGCCCTGTAGATTCACAAGTGGTTTCTTCTGAGTACTGACTACAATTTCCCACTCCAGATGCCACTATCACCATATTGTCTTCTGGTTCTCCATTCAGGGAAACCACTTGTCCAAAGGCACTAAATGCTACTCTCTTTGCTCTAAGAAATGTCAGATACAGTGTGTTTAAATTTTCTCCACCCCACACCACAAAATAATATCTTATGGATGATTGGACATTTTAATTTTTTTTTTCACAAAAAATGATGTACTCTTGAACTTTGAGGACATTATTTTATCCTGATGAAAATGAACTCACTGTGACACTCGAAAATATGTTACAATTTTCTCAATTTTTTACTCTTTTCATTTAGGCACTGAAACTTTAATGAAGACTGTTTGCTTGTAAAGGAAATTTTGAAGAAAGGAAAAAGCGAATCTGAATGGGGTGGAAAATTAATCGAAAATTTAAAATGCACTTACAAGAGCTTAACATTTACAGTCTGACCTTCTTGAACTGGTATAGTCATCGATTTCGGTTCAAATTGGTACTCTTTCATCATGGGGCGCAAAAAATATTCCATGGGGCTCAGAGAATTGAAAGAAATTTGTCCATTTTCCCCACTTTGCAAGTTCTTTCGATAATTCTCGTCACCTGACAAAGATAACAGCACACCCTGAAATAATTTTTCACTTAGTCTTTTGCTGTTTGCCACCTTATAGAATGAAAACCGGATTAAATTTGAGTTTTTAGAAAATTCTCTGAAAAATAAACATTGCAAGTTGAGTGACAAATTACCCGTACCGATAGAGGGATATTATCAGATCCATCGACAATTTCTACTATAATTTCGGCTAACTTGTGCGCCATGAAGTTTCCACTGGCATCTGGCCCGGTAAGTACGAATGATTCCTTCTTGGCAGTTATTGTGTAATCTTTCTTGCTGTCCAATGGTGGGAATTTGAAAACACCGCTCGAGTCCGTTTCTATCACCAAACTCTCAGTGTCTGAACTTTCAACAGTGACAGTCACTCCAGGTAGAGGTGGAATGATTTTACCCTCAAAGATCTTACCTAATAATATATGGAGAATAATGCGATCTGAATACTAGAGAAAAATGAAGGCCTTTTCATTTAGATGACAAATGCCTATCTCTGTTTACATCTCGCATCCAACGACAGTGGCGGCCATTTTCACCGAAACACTTACACCATAGTACCACACTCCTCAGTAACGAGCAAGTAAGTTTTTTTGGAATTAAATTATTATAATACAATTAATATACACAGGAATATAAAAACAAAAATACTATGTTGTTATTGTTGTTTCTCTATGACGAATGCCCATGGTGGTTGACACTGTTGACATTTGACAGAACGTCAATAATACCCGCCATATTCGAAATGGCCAATCATCAATTTGTGTTGGAACTATAGCCAATGAGACTTCAGCTTCACATCACCCAATGCATTTTTGGATCTAAAAACGAGCGCATGCGTCTCAAAGATATATCTAGATGAAAAGGCCTATTCTGTGCCAAACTATGCAGGGACATATTATTATTGAAAACAATGATAATCATTTGTTAACTAAACAAAAAGGCTTATTCAGGAATTCAGGATAATATTCCTCATGAATATATCAATAACAAGAAACAATTCAAACTTTGCCAATGCCAACAGCATCTCCTCTTTGATGGAAAACAAGTCCATGTACAATGTTTTCTCAAATAAAAAACGCACATTGAAACAATAGGAAAACAGATTTCTTAGTTACCATGAAATTTACCTCTTGTTGTGACAAATTGCACTCCTAAATCAACACAATCATCCCTACCGTCTACCGACAGAATAGGAGGGCTGAAGAAAAGTACATCAGATTGAGGGACAACCACTGCAGTCTCCCTTGGTTCCAGTAGAATATCCAATTCATATACACCATTTCTATATGACAAATGTCTCTCTGTTTTGTCAGTCCCGATTTTCACAGACACTTGTAATTTCCCGAAGTCAGACGCAGCTTCAATGGATAATTTCAGAGTGTGTTTATGAGCAGACAAGAGGATTTCATTAGATTCTGAGTCCGTTTTGTATGAAATAGTTTTAGGCATGTAGCTATGACAGCTTTCCATTTCAAAATTATATTCCCCAGGTTTTTCTAAGCACCTGCTAGATCTGCCTTTCGGGATTTCAAAAGATATTGATGGTAGACCCTTATTTTTTACATTCACCTATGAAGAAAAACAAATTTGTTGTTTTTTTGGTTACACACACAGACACATACATACTTTGGTATGGTGGGAAGAGATGAAATTTAAAATATATCCTTTCTGAATGAAAGGAGGTACTTCAATTATTGCAGCATCTACTACAACAGTTTGTTTGCTAGTTTCCCAGCAGTATTTGTTTGATAGCAAGCTGATTTCATAATTTCCTGGATGCATATCACTCACGGTAAAAGAACCATCTAGAAATAGTTGTGTGAGGCCAAATTGTTTCTATTATGATTGATGGTTACCTTTAATTTTCACTAAAACTTCATTTTCATTTCCAGTTTTCAAAACCACAGTAATACCTTCACACTCTTCTTGTTGTAAACATATGACTCTTCCAGAAATTGTTGATTTAAGTTGTGAAAACATAATATTTGAAATTTTCTCTGAAGTAACTTCAATAGTCTGCTTCAATGGGAAAAATCTAAAGAAAGTGAATTGATTATACGTGATTAATCATAATATGGGGAATTCAACTTCTAAGCATTTTCTATTGCTATGAGAGAAAACAAGTGTACTAAAATGTAATAGATGATTGCATCAGTAGCATTTTGGGTAAATTTGAAAGATATTTAGCAGTTTCATGAAATGTCATGTCACCAATAATGTGAGAACATTCATTAGAACACAAAATTAATTCACATCTCCACTTTCCTAGACACTTACTGTATGCCACTTTGTTTCTCCTCTTCATCAACAACAACCTGAACATCATATTTTCCTGGCAATAGATACTGACAAAAACTTCCATCTATATTTGAAGTTTCAGTTTGAATAAACTTTGTACTACCAAATTTGGTGAATGTCACTATTTGGGAATGGTCACTTGTAACCATTCCACAAACTTTAAAGGCAGAGGGAATGATATTTGGTAGCTCAGGAGAACTTGGGTTTATTTGAACTAGAACTTCTTCAAAAATCAGATCCTCTGAAATAAGAATCATAAATCATTTCAAGAATATACTCCTAACAATATACAAACCAGCTTCTGCTCTGATTTTGTAAGCTCCTGCTTTCAGTTTTTCAAGTTTGTAGTTGCCACTGGAGTCAGTCTTACCAATTTCCTGACCATTCAAAAACATTTTGACATTGCTGATTGGGACATTACTTGACCTCAATACTCTTCCTGTTATACTGAAGCCCACTATCTGAAAATTAGTGAATAATCATTTAGTAAATATTACAATAGATTTTGATGTTGGCACTTATCACCTCAAAACTTTGCTGGAGTTCCAAACTGTCATGATTGACAACAAAATCAATTTTCTCTGGTTGGAAATATATGTTTTGTCCTTTGTAGAATGGTACTATGTAATATCTATTATTTGGCAGTGATTCAAATGTAAATTTTCCATTTTCATTGGTAATGACATAGCATAAGTAATTATTTTTTGTTGGATAATCCTTTAGAGGCCCACTAATGCATCCTTCAACTGGTACATTTTGATTCTTCAGAGAAAGTCCAATTAGTATAAATATCATTCAAAACTTGAACCATTACCTTGCTAGAATAAAGAATCACAAAAGCTCCTTTGACTGGTTGTCCTTCACTTCTTACCATTCCAGAAACATCATAACCACCTATAACTAAACTATTCTTCGGTAATTCAGCATTACTTTCAGCAACTTTCACATCCACTGATTTCTTCAATATCTTCCACCTAAAGAAGAACAAATGAAAAATTTAGGAAGAGCATGAAGAACAAGCACTGACTTTGGATGAGAAATGGCAACTTTATAACTTCCTGGGAAAACTGGGGTGAAGAAAAAATTCCCGTTTTTATCAGTTGTAGTGCTCCTCCTGTCTCCACTGGAATCTAGCTGTACTATGACACCTTCAGGGCCACTTACACCTTCACTGCCCATGCTTTCAACTCTACCAGTGATACCAAAACCTTGGAAAACAAAATTTATGTCTTTTCCTTGGCTGCATAGATCACTTGTTCCATCAATAGAGAGTGCTACTCTTGTAGGTTCAAAACTCCAACCTGGGGGTGGAGACAGCTAAAAGTAAATATATTTGCATTAGGGTTCTCTTTGTGGAACATATTTCATTTCACCTCTAGAATCATATCTCCTTTATCATACAGAGGTAAGAAGTAGTAACCATTATTCGGAGCTGCACTTGTTTTGTCCTTTACAATGCCTTGCTTGGTTATTCTGAAAAATGAAAATCGCAGTACATTCAGATTTATTAGTTCGAAAAAGGGAGTACTTACAATTGAACCTCAACTTTTGAGAAATCAATTGGCACATGACTCTTTAGAAATCCTCCACAGCCCAACACTTCATCTGACTCAGTACTTGCAATGAAATTTATGGCTACAAGAGCAAATATCACCTGCTTATTCATTTTAATGCAAGAAATTGGGAATTATCATTCAATATTTCAATTTGATTTCAAAACATTCAGAAATCTCAACATAAAATCATATTTCAATCACCGACTAAAAACATAACCAAAAACTAATAAATGACATTGTCATTAACGTAAAAGCAATCTGACAATCTACTCACATGTTATACTTTTCTCTTTCTACCAGCAACAGCTGTCACTGTCATTTCCATATCGGGCCAATGAACTGAATGTACACTCCTTAACTCAACACGTGTGTGGCGACTATCGATAGTTTCTCACCTCTATATTCGATACGTTAATTCAAAGGTGTTACCTCAGGTGTTACCAAGTGTTACTTCACGTCAACACGTGCAGGCGTGCAACTTCAACTTGATGAAAAAAACATAGCCAAGGCCAAAATAAAAGGGAATTTCGGTACATCATTTTATATTTTTGAAAATATTACACAAAAATTTCATAGATTAAAAACCAACTGATTAAGCAGCACAAATCCAGAAATTCAAATGCAGCATAAACTTATTATGCTGAATAATTGAACTTCTGTGCTACATAATATACATATACTTTGATTTAATCCTATCACTGAATTCACACTATTTTATTAAAATCTCATTCACACTCAGCAATGAAGAAGCCAATAAATGGTTCAAAGTTCGGCTTTGGAATAGCATAGAGACATATTATAGAGGTATATATACCAACCTATTTTAGGCTACATTGGGAATATTGAAAAACATATCTAACAAAACATTTATGGAATATATCATTATACTGTGTTGTTGACTTCAATAAAATATGGAGAGGATAAATTATACACCCAAAAACTCCAAACTCTTATTAGCCCAATACTGGATTTTTTGTATTAAATTGACTAAAAATAATAACATACAGACAATTTGTTAACTAAGCTAAGAGGACCTCCTAAAACTTTGACTCAATAATTAATCTATAAAAAATAGGAATAACGAATTAATAAAAAATTAAAAATTTGTCATTAAATAAAATAATACTCTATCCTATTTCGATTTGCACATAGATAATCCAGTCATCAAGTATATACTTTGGTATGATGAGGTTTTTGTGGAGAGGGATGAAGTTTTTGAAACCTTCAATTCCAGGTGGAAATGAAAATCTTGAGTTTTTTCATATTCCCGACATGATGGCTGGACCTAATATTGGAATTATCATAAAGGATATATAATCCAACTTCAAAGTACACTCATTTGTGATTTGTGAAAAACGGTGATATTATATTTCACAATATTCCAACAGTGTCCCATGAAATTTGTATTACCCTGTATATAGAATATTGATATATAAAAAAAAAAAAGATTCAAGCAGTGGTGAAAATGCTGAGTTATGTGTTGGTTATGTGTCCACGCCCCTATATATCCTAACCAGTTGGTCAAAAGATACTAGAAAACTTCACCAATCACAGGACAATTCAAATATAGCTGCTCTTATTATTTATCAAAAAAAGCATTCAATATATATACATTATCTATGACAACTCGTTCATTCACTAATGAATTTTCACGATATACCGGAATAAGTTTGAAAAAGAAAGAGAAGTTTAAAAATACAGGTTGTAAACTGATAACTGTCGCAACGGACAACGGTGGATTCCAAGACATTTTTTTCCTTTTCGAAAATTTTCTCAGAGCTTCCGTTATCAAGATACAGGGCGTAAAGAGAAATAAAAATGAAATTTTTTGCTCTCATATCTCAGGAACCGTTTGAGCTACGGAGCTGAGCCTTTTCAACACACAAGGCAGAGAGTTCGTAAGGGTTTAAACCTCCCAAACTATTATGCAACTGGAGACATTGTTATTTTTGAAGCACATTCTGAAGCACCAATATCTTTCACACAAGAAAAGTCCTCCTGCTTCAATGCCCTGAAGTGAACAGTTTTCGAGAAAAATGCCTTTGTTTGAACAAAAACATACACGTCTAAAAATCTAAGGTATTACCACTGTAAATAAATAATCTCAGAACTGTCAAAAATTTTCAATTTGTTGAGTACTGGTTTTCAGATTGTTAAGTTTGGAGAAGAATTTCAAAAAAGAAAAAAATGTCTCTTGTGAGAAATCTGCAGTTTTCCGTTGCGACATTTATTTATTAACACCCTATATATGCCCAAACATACACAACAAAATAAAATGCATATATTTTTCAACAAAGACTCAATCATACATTGCTAAAAACCCCCATACATACCTACCAAAGGAATTTAAATTATGTTGAAATAGACAGTTTTTCTATTGATACAAAAAAAATATTACTAAAAGAAATCATTAAATTATCATTAAAATTAAAGTAGGCATCTGATAACATTTGACTGATTAAATTAATATGAAAACATTCCCACCCAAAGCTTATTGCAAGTCCAATAACGAAACATTTTTGGAATATACTGAATGTTTTGTCAATACTTTTTGAACTGAAAAATAAATGTATTAGCCTTAATCGTCCTTAATACCACCACTACAAGAGTGCCTAAATCTTTCGAACCATTCCCATCATGTGATATATTGAGATTCTTGTTGATTATTTTTCGCAAAAAATTGTGAGTTTGGTCAGAGAATTTTTTTCTGGTCCACTAGTAGCATGGCGTCAGCCTACTGTGTGGTCATTTTTGTAGTGATTTAAGCTTTCAATGATGATTTTCTTTCCTTTGAAGACCCCAAGGGTCTTGTTATAATAATTTTTTCTAGCAGGGAATGCGCATGCGTCCATAATGTATCACATGATTCACTGTGACAAAATGTTGGGAATGGTTCGAAAACTTTAGGCTCCCATCCACTATACTTACACGATGTATAGAAATTTAACTTACACCACTTATTTCCATCATTCCTACCCCATACCGAAATATGTACTGGAAATAAAATTTTCATTTCTTCCCACCTTGAAAAAAAAAACATGCCGGGCTTCGTGAGAGCCTCTGCTTATTTTGAAAAATTGCATATTTATGGTCTGTTCATAGAATCTCATTTATATTTGATTTATATTTAATTTAATTTATATTTACTTCAATTTAACAGCTCTATTTTCGATAAGGAGTGGACTAAATTAAATATAAGTTAAATGACCTATGAAAGCATCTTGAGATAAGTTAAAATTGAATACAAATAATGTCTATGAACTGACCATTAAATACAAAAATACTCAAATTATACCTCTTGTGATGTATGATAATAAATAAATGTAATTCTAGGCATATCAATTTTTCCTCATAAATATTCTGAAACAATCCTCAAGTGAGTACCTAATACATTTCCTGTTGAAAAATTAATGCATTTATGTACAATGACTATTTTGATTTGTCATTTAGGACATTGCTTCATGAGAAACAAACAAATAGAAAGTGGAAATTAACATATTAATTTTGTGGTGTTATCATCACAGTTGAATTGTTTAGAAAATGAGCTGTGTCATTTTGCAATCCTGCAAATAGAAAATAAAAACAATAAATAAATTACACCTATGAAAAATATCACACATCTAAGAAGTCTTTCAAAAGAGTAGTACGTCGTTTCTCAGCAATGTCCATTTGGTTTTCCAGATCACCCCTATCAGTAGTTTCAGCTCTCTCAATCTTCCAGGACAAATTCTCGATCTCAGCCTCCAACTGGGCTTGCTGATACTCAAATAGCTCCTTGCGAGAGCCACCATCCATGTAATAGGCATAGGGATATGTATACTGTAATGTGTACCTACATTTGGCCAGCAGATTTGCAGCAGTGAACAAATATTGCCAGTCAATCCAGGTACCCAAACCTGACATCACTTTCTGGTTGATGCGGGACCTCAGTTTCTCCAAAGTCTGCTCTTCCAACTTCAGAGATTTTGAATGATTCTCCCATCTCTCATAGTAGTGCAAATATTTTTTCAAAGCTTCCCTGGCCTAAAAATCAGATTATTTATTTCCATCCCATTATCTTGCAGCTATAATTATGGTAGCTAACCTGAGCATGAACAGATTCATGAGCAATATTTGGATTCTCCCTGTATCTAGAACACTCATAGTACTCTGAACCATGTGACTTCCAGTCACCAAGACACATCCAACAAAAATCATGTTTACAGTTGTAACACTGCATGTGATTGCATCCCCCATTCTTCTCTATACATATGTGGCACTTTGGACAATCTTTGGTGTGTGCACTTATGTAGTTTGCAGTCTCACTATCATCTGCACATTTTGTCAGCCATTTCTTGATCACCTGGCATTCTGTGGGTGCATGATAATCACACCCACATCTGAAGGCAAAAAAATGGTTTTTGTAAAACATGGTGGCTAATTTTGAGGAAAAAAAGAATTATAATTATTTTTATTACACATCATCAGAATTGGGTTTGAATTTTGGATCAAGTTACAAGAGTTCACCCACATATTGAAGAAACAGTTTATCAAAGACATCTCATTTAGTGCCCCTAAAGCAACAGTGTAGGAACATATCAAAGTTGAATGATATAAATTTGGAAAATCTGTAGGAAGACCCCCCTCTTGTTCAAAACCTATAAATATTGTCACAACAGGATAGACAGAAAAGCAAGATAGACATTAATTTTTATTGGCTAAATCTCTATAGTTCTGGTACTAACCTGAAGCAGAAAATAGTTTTACATTGACTGCATGTTGTCCTCTTTGCTTTGGGTTCTTGGCTATGAACAACAATGGAACAATTGGGACCTGGACAGAACTTCAATTCTGGATGAGACTTGACATAATCTTGGAAAGAAAATTGCTGATATTTTTCCCTCATATTGGGGCGATGTAAGTGTTTTAGAACAAAATCTTCAGGTGCTAAAACTTTACACTCCCTAGCCATACATGCTATACTGGTTGATATTCCCTAAAAATGCAAAGTTTGAAGGAAATTCTAAGAGCTTGAATAAATATTGTTTTACCTGATTTATTTGAACTTCAAAATGCATTGTCCAACAATCTTTACAGAACATATGTGCACAAGATAAGCTATAGAACTTGTCAAAGGACTGTGAGGTTACACAAACAGGGCAGTTGATGTACCTGCTGAATGTCAGACTTATTGGAGGTGATGGTGGCTTGATTCGAGATGCAATCAGGGTTTGTGTGGGATTCTCTTTAAATTTTCTTGTTACTTCTTGAATGTTCCATTGATGACTATGTAATAGTACCTTCAATAAATTTTATGGAATTCTCATTCTGGAAAATCTTTAATAGAACTTACTTTTGCCAGTGAAGGAGAAATTTGGTGCATGTTACTCAATGTTTCAACAGTTTCATTTAGTAACCTGTCCACTTGTTCTTCAAAGAGACAATTGAATTCAAAGTACTCAGGATCAATTTTCCTTGGATCAATTTGTTCAATATCGATATCATCGTTCAGGGTGTAATAATATTCATCATAATATTCATTATCAGAGCAATCCATATCTGATTCACCCCCCTGAGAGCTAGTCATTGTATCTTCCATTTTTCGTTAAAACTGACACCCGAATGCTAAATTCATATTAACATATTTGCAATAGTTATTGAAGATTATACGCAAAAATGAAAATAGTTCTTTTAAAAACTTCAAAAGGTCCAAAATGATCACCTGTTTACATACAATTTAACATGTCAAATTTCAGTCGCCATATTTATTTACCTCATAGCAGCATAGGATAGGCGAATTCCATTGGTAAAACTGGCTCGCACAGCGCACTGAGTGCAAATCTTGTACATATTCCATTGGTTAAACTGGTGTCGTTCCATTGGAAAACTGATTCACATAATTCAGAGCTCAGTGCAACAATTCTCGCACGAGCTCAAATGGTCGTGCGAAGTTAGTGCAGTTTTGAATTTGGTGGAAAGCCAAACTGTCAGTGGCAATCTAATCATCATCATCATCAAATAGTGATGATAAGTTGGAGGTTTCAAGAAAATAATGGAGATTACCTCCCAGTTTTCATAACTTTGTTGAGTGTTTTGCATTAATTAAATGATGAAGAGGTATCAAAAAAAAAGATGAAAATTATTTTCATGAAACATCTACTTTGTTTTTAATTGAGGTTAAGAACTTGTTGCCCTCTGTGTTGATCCGTTTACGGCACGAATTCACAATTTAATACCTGAAACGAGCCTTCTTTTTTTGGAGCGCACGAAAGAAAATTCCTATAATGTTCGTGAAACATCGTGCGTACCTAGGGAGGATACACTGGCGGATCTGAGGGGGGGGCCATGGGGGCCATGGCCCCCCCCAGAGCTCTGAATAAGTAGTTGATATTGGTTCAACAATCAGTCTGGATATGCAACCAAAGCTACGTTATACAAACCAAAATTATTCGTATTCGTAGTTTTCGTATTGAATGGTTCCTCAAACACTCGAACATGCCAAATCAACTCTTTTTTTAATTTCATTCATTATCATATACAAATATTATATAGAAATATTCTTGTATGCAGTGGGAATATGGGAAAACGACACAGGCGGTCAGATCAAAGGGCGGCAAAACAGATAACGATAGAGGAAAAATAATTATTTTCAAGGCCGGGGCTTCAGTAAAATGCAAATTAGCGGTAAGCGGTGACCGGTGGCGGTGAGCGGCAAGAATCAAAAACAAAGGGAATAACTGAAATAAGTAGTTGTTTTTTATCCGAAACCGCAAAAAACACCAATTGGTTTTGAAAGAAAAGGGTGAAAAGGGTCATTTCACATTAGTTCTTCAGAACAGTAAGATTCAGTTCACAGATTTTTTCATTTAAAAAGAAAGAAGAAGTAAGTGATAAGTGAAATTGAAATTATACTAAAAATTAAATGGTAAGTAGGTACATTGGTACATACGCAACAGTGAGATTATTAACGAGATTGATTTTTATATATTTTTGAAAACCGATAATCAGTGTATAAAATTTTACTCACTTGGATGAACAAAACTATTTAGAGCTGCAGATAAATCTTCAATACATTTTCGAGAATCATTTAATGTCTACATTCCTGAGTTTATTCCAACTAAAAAATGTATTTTAATGATCATGGTTTCATTGTGAAAAAAAAATTTCAATCTCCTACCTATTCGATCTGGAGAACTCAGCTGAGCTCTTTAATTTTTCAGATGGATAGAAGGAAGATTAATTCATACTTTTTGCCAGTACAAAAAAAGCGGAAAATTGAACAACCAATTCAAAGTATTCAAAGCGAGGCAGGGCCGTCATCTTCAGCTTTAGGAAACCGTGACATATCAGAGGGAACTATTAAAAAACTATCTCAAAGCATCCAAAGTGAGGAGAAACCATCATCGTCATCTCAAAACCCTTATATGTCAGAAGAAAATATGGAAAATGAAAATATTTTCGATATAGGTAAAGCAGTTGGGCGAACAATGAATGACTATGAGAAATACAATTTCTTGAAAAATACTTGGCATCCGCCAATATTCTATATTCATATACATATCATTCATTATTCATGTGGTTTCAATTACTTTGGTTTCAAAATTCCATTAACTCACGGCCCATGGCCCCCCCTGAAAAACTGCCTAGATCCGCCACTGGGAGGATAGGGAGATGAGGAGTTGGTGTTGGAATGTATTTCGAACTTTTGTAGGTTATAAGTTCTTGGGAAAGCTTCGCCCACGGTCGATATTGAAAAAAACTATCATTGAAAGCGAATCACTATCGGCCCCAATAGTAGATGCCTGCACAGTATTTTTTCGATTAATCACTTGAATAAAAAGGAAGCGATTCTCACCACCATGGCTTATATTTGATGAGAGATTTGATGGCAGTTCGTTTCAAATTCCCAACAAGCTCAAAAAATCATATAAAGATCATGTGATCTGACGGGAGGAGCAATAAATCTCTTGCTCAACTCAAACAAACAGAAAGCATTTTGACAATGAACACAGTGTGTGTGTATGACACCGAATGGGTTATGGGATCATTGCTACACAATCTACTCTGGTGTACAATATTGTAGTTATTGGAGGCAAAGCGAACAGACCTTTAGGTGAAAGTAGTAGATATGCAGTGTTGCCAACCTTCCCGATATATCGGGAGATCTTCTGACTTTCTGCATTTTCTTTCGACAGAGAGATTATGGACAATCTACCGATATTCAGAGAGGATCATAGATAATCTACCAATTTTCAGTCGAATAGTTGAAATCTCTTGATTTTGGAGGTGTTTCTTGTTCCTATAGTGAAAGAATGAATAATGATTACTAATTTTTATTTATTGTTGAAATTTTAAATCATTCATTTTAATATTCTTATACTAGAATACAGCATTTTTTCATTACAACTTTTCACAATCTAAATAGCCGTTGGGCCCTGCTGGTCTAGACTTTTATAAGAAGTTCTGTAGGTTGTAGGGTGTAGGGGGCATGTAGGAGGGATAATAATATTGCAAAATGTTTTATTGATTATATGATTATCGTGTTTCATGTTTATTAGCATGATGTTATCTTTCTTATCATAACATTGATTAGTTCCTTTTTTGTAGGTAAAAATTATATTTTAAATGTCTAGAATTTAGAATTTATCCATCGAATTATTTTAATCCCAAAATCCACAGTTCTGTCACTTCTACAGTTCTACCAGTTCTACCCAAGATCTATCTGTTTGTTAAAAATAAAAACACGTCTGTTTCTCTCTCCCCATCTTTGTTGTATTAATACTTTAGAGCGGATTATCCATCTCTTTTTTCCATTTGATCAAGTGGAGTTGCAAAGTGCTAATGGTGACAGTTTTAATAAATAAAATAGAATTAGGAAACCATCAAATTGTGAAAAAATGTCTCACTTTCACAAGGTAGAAGTAAACAAGACAGTTTGGGAAGTTCCGGAGAGATATCAAGCCCTTCAAGCAGTTGGATCCGGTGCATATGGACAAGTTTGGTAGGTAAATTTGTGACACTTTTATTAATGAGACACCCTGACACCCACTATTCAGCATTGTTGGAAAATATGTTCACAGGCGAATTCAACCCTTTCGCAATTTCCTGTAGCTAAAAATGTATAAAATTAACTGGTGATCAGGGACATAATTATAAAAGAAGAGTCTCAAATATTTTGAGGTTAGAAATTTGAAATGCAAACCTTCACCTACTTTATTTTTCAATTTTCTTGCACATTAAAATATTTCATATCTTCACTGCACCTCTTTATTCATTCTTCCATTTGTTTATTCTTTAAATTTTTGTGTATTTAACATCTCCATACATACAAAACTTTTAATTAGCTTTTCTATTTCAGTGAATATAGGGTGCCTATCATTTATAATCTTACATAATTTACTCTTTATCAAAAATGCATTTAACATTACCAATATTCTGCATGTAATAATACTATTTATAGACCTGATATAAAAATAGACAATTATTTTTCAGTTCTGCATTGGACACTGTAACTAATAAAAAGGTAGCAATAAAAAAACTAGCCCGTCCATTTCAGACTGCAGTACATGCTAAACGAACCTACAGAGAATTAAAATTACTCAAGCACATGAGGCATGAAAATGTCATCGGGTTGCTGGATGTATTTTACCCCAGGCATGATAACAGCCAGGTTAGACAAATCAGACCTCGAATCAGACTGTCTAATGAATTTTGATAATCTTGACACATTTACTTTTTCAGATATATTTAGTGACACATCTCATGGGAGCTGATTTGAATAATATAATAAGAACTCAGAAGCTAACTGATGATCATGTACAATTTTTAGTATATCAAATTCTACGAGGCTTGAAATACATTCATTCTGCAGGGGTTATTCACAGAGTGAGTCAGTAGATTGCTGTTCACTTTCCCACTTAGCTGGTTCATTTTTGTAGGATTTGAAACCATCGAATATAGCAGTTAATGAAGATTGTGAGCTGAAAATATTAGATTTTGGCCTTGCTAGGCCTACAGAAACTGAAATGACTGGATATGTAGCTACTAGGTGGTACAGAGCCCCAGAAATTATGTTAAACTGGATGCACTACAACCAAACTGTTGATATTTGGTCTGTTGGGTGTATCATGGCAGAATTACTAACTGGAAAAACCCTGTTTCCTGGCACAGACCGTATCCTATGACAAAAATTGACATTTCTATGGTTATACTGGCATTGAACTCATCTTACAGGATTCTCTACAAACTATCATTTTCCTTAATTTTTCACAGATATTCATCAGCTGAACCTCATAATGGAAATTTTAGGCACACCAAGTGATGAATTCCTGAAAAAAATAACATCAGAAAGTGTAAGTGATTTATTTGCTTGATAAAGTGTAGTTCACTATATACTCATAAGAATACCCTATTTTCCTGATTCCTTGGTGAATTGATCAAGGTTGCATTTGCAGATGTTATTTTAATTAGCATGCAATAAAAGTAAGCTCCTTAACTTCTTTTCACTTTCTGGGTGCTCAATTAATTGTCTATCAAACATTTGGTAATGATTATTGCATCTCTTCAGAATGAAATTCTACAGGATGATCAAAGCTGTGCATTTTTTCAAGAATTTCAAAGTCATCCTGTTTAGAAGGAAAATTCTTATTTTTTCTGAAGTTAAAAACATACCGTCTGTTTTAATAATGTTTTTTCAATTTAGTGGCATAATTGTTTTGTTGGGATTCACCCTGTATCAATGCATATAATTGTCATGCGTCATTTCAAGATTTTTGACCACCGTTTGCGTCACAACACATTTTTTTAAATTTCGTGGCATAATTGCTTTTTTGAGGACCACCCTGTATCAATGCATATAATTGTCATGCATCATTTCAAGATTTTTGACCACCATTTGCGTCACAACACATTTTTTTCAACTTAGTGGCATAATTGTTTTTTGAGGACCACCCTGTATCAATGCATATAATTATCATGCATCATTTCAAGATTTTTGACCACCAGTTGCGTTACAACACATTTTTTTCAATTTATGGTGCATAATTGTTTTTTGAGGACCACCCTGTATCAATGCATATAACTGTCATGCATCATTTCAGGATGGTTTGGAGAGAAAATAAGATTATTTTAAGTGAGGCGTGGGAAAAAATCGATTTATCGATATATAATTTCAAAAATATCAATGTATATTGATATATCGACAAGTATCGATATATCAATAAGTATCGAAATATGGATATATCCGAGGATATATCGAACTTATCAATATGTTTTCACTTATCCATAAGTGAAATCTGATATCGCGCAGCCCTAGTTGCAATGATTGCTTACTTACATGGGATTGAAAACAGTTAAAATTCAAATAAAGTAGACGATAACAGAGTTAGATTCATATTTTGGTATTTACTATCTGTAGTTCAAAGGTTGCCCTTTCTTAATGAATCACCCTGTATAACATAATATCGAAAGCATAGGCATTGATGAAAGTTGATGAATATTTTGAGATAATTCTTATCATTAAAATTACAAGAGGAAGAAATCCAATATTCTATTCAGTATCATTATTTGTAGGCTAGAAGTTACATAAAATCGCTCGCAGTACTACCTAAGAAAGACCTGCACTCGTACATTGTCGGTGCTAATCCATTAGCTGTAGATCTTCTCGGCCTAATGTTAGAGCTAGATAGCGAGAGACGTATTACCGCCGAACTAGCCCTAGCACATCCTTACCTGGGTGCCTATGCAGATCCGCATGATGAGCCAATATCGGCGCCTTATGATCAAAGCATCGAAGATATGAATTTACCAGTGGAAAAATGGAGAGGTAAAACGAAATTTCTACCAACAACTGCATATTTTTGATGAAATCATTGAAATCAGAATGAAAATTTTATGATTATAACTAGCTGACCCGTCAAACGTTGATTTGCTATTTACATTATTTCTTGAGAATATTTTTTCAGTTGAATATTTACCAACACTCTTTCATTATTGTATTTTCTACTCCTCTTTAGTTTGGCTATCCCGAGGGCTATCCATAAAAGCGTGTTTCTTTTGGGTTTTCAAACTACAATTTAGTTTCTACTTCTTTCTAGTTTGGCTATCTGTAAATGCGGATTTCATCAGTTTTTCAAAGTACTATTTATTACAAAGCTCGTTCGCCATATTGTATCCGCCCTTAATTTTCCCAATTTTGACGAAAGAATAATAATTTCCGACCCCTACAACCCCAGGCACCGATATTGAATAGAATCGGATCATAATTACAAAACTCGACCACCATATTGGATCCGCCATCTTGAATTGTCCAATTTTGACGAAAAAATCATAATTTTTGACTCCGGTAACCCTCAGAAATCCATTTTGAATAGAATCGAATCATATTTACGGAACTCGTCTGACACATTGGACCCGCCATTTTGTATTTCCCAATTTTGATGAAAGAATCAAAAGGCCGTTTCTTTTGTACGAAAAGTGCAGCACAGTCGTACACTTCGTGTGGTTTACACCTTATTTGAGCAGTGTAGTTTATCCCGACCAGGTCTTGGGCAGGTGTGAATTACACTCGAATTAAATATAATTAATAAAATCGCGATAAATGACTCGAAATACATATGTTATTATATTTTTATCAGATATAACACCTGCACTGGGAAATCAGTTGAATCAAATACCATATTTTAAAATTAACTCTGTTCACTTTTACACTTTTCCTCATCAATCAAATTTTCTTCATTCGTTTGAAATTCGTCGGTGTAGCTGCACGAAATATCAGCTGATTCATAGTGTAGTGCATTTTATACGACACTGAAAAGCAAACGTAAAAACCTATAATCTCCTACCCTGGAAACCACTCAGATACCAATTTTCAGTAGAATTGGATCATAATTACAAAACTCGTTCGATCAACCATCTTGAATTTCCAATTTAAAAAATAGTTTACGATCGGGAAGGATAATTTGTACTACCCGTTGTCCTATTACCCGTTTTTCCGTAGGAATGAAGCATTTCCCGCGGTTTCCAAATCGGTCCAGTAGTGTCGGGTGGTTTCGGAGCCTATTCAAAACAAACAAACAAATACATTTTTCCTCTTTATAATATTAGCATTGATTTGTTCTATATCGGAAACTGGAACCTTTAGCATGACAATCACACCACACTGTTTTATCACTAACCAAACCGAGTTTTTATGCCACGACACGTGTTTTGCTAATTATATTAGCATCTTCTGAATAAGATTAAAATTATGTCGAGGCCTTGAAATATCGTTTGGTCAGTGGTAAAATATTGTAGTGTGATTAATTGTACTGTTTTGTGTTTTTCAGAATTGGTGCTACAAGAAGTCAACTCTTTTGTTTATATTTCTCCTCTGAACGAGGAAAAATAATATTTGGATTGAAGGTACTAAAACGAATATTGATTTAATTATTGTTATATTGTAATTGATTTTCAATTGATTGATCCATAATATTGATGTTAATTTTTTCAGTTATCAAAAATTGTATAGGAAGGATGTTGTTTTTGGAGGAATTTTATTGAGTACCTTGTAACATGAAAATTTACCTTTATCCAAACTCAATTATCAGAATGGTACAGTTTCCTTTTTTTGTGCTCAGACTTGAGTCAAGTATCATGCAAAGTAAACAGCTAAGCATTTAGTTCACATTTTATTACAGGAACTTACAAGAAGTGAATTATATTACATAACAAGTGTGGGTATTTCATCATGTTCTTGTACCTGTTGGATTGGTTGGCTCACTGCTTATGTTTTTGGGAAGATTGATGCCTAAAATTGAATTAAACATGTAGATTTTTACACAAAGTCACAGTCATAACTTACCTGAAGTCAGTCCCTGTATTCTTCAAACTGATGTGATCATCTCCAAGCAATCCTTGAACTCCAGGAATAATCTGAAAAGAAAAACAAAAGATTAGGTGAAATCATAACGAAAGTATTTGAGCTTCAACAAGCATTGTACTTACCAAGTGAGTCTTACAGGTGTTGGGACTTTCTTTATTTTTTTCCCAAATTCGCTTCTTTGGAAAGTTATTTTCAAATTCGAATTTGTTTATTTATTTTCATTGGCTGTCAACATGATAAATTACAATTTGTCCAAAGTCAAATATCAAATTGTTTCATGTCAATGTCATAGGTCACAAGTCACGTAAGATTTGTTTCTTCGTTCATTTTAGGGTTGTTCGTTTGCACTTAAGAATCAGTCTTAAAGTCAGGTCGAAGTGAATACTAAGTGGAAAGTCATGTCATTGAAAAGGCGTGTGTCATATGTCAAGTGTCACCGAACCACGTGGGGTAAATCCTATTTTCTCATTGGCTAGAGGTTGGAAAGAATGGATGGCCTGTGATTGGCTAAGAGCTCAACTTGTGCTCACGCATGAGCGGTGTTGTTGCGCAGAAAGCATAGTTGGCGTTGACTGTTTTTTTCGAATAGGTTTTCCTATGCTTCGATTTTGTTCTTGACGAATATAATTTTTCGGGAAGGGATTGTCCTTTTCCGTCTTGGTCTCAACGACGCCATCATGGGCAGGAAAAGCTCTTTTTCGATTTTGCCTGGCGAGGCGATAAGTCGCCACTTAATTTTCACTTGGTTGTGTGAAGCCGATCCCCCGTGGAAGGTGAGTTTTTTTGAACCACTTGTGGCATATTTTTGGCCTGCAACAGGGACGTTCTGGATTATAGATTTGCCGGCTTCCACGAGCCCCACGAATTTCCTTACTGAGAGCTCTAAATCTGAGCCCGGACCACTGCCTCACCACTGACCACTGCCTCACCACTGACCACTGCTTTAGTACCATTGAAGAAGACGCCCTTTCTGATGACCACCTGCTGATCTTCAGCCTGGTTTCTGACGGCCTCGTGCTCGTCAGCTTTGAAGAGCCTCCTAATTCCAAGGGGTTCCTTGGGTTCAATGTCCCCACTGCAATCAAGCCTCCATTTGATGAAAGTGCCCCTGAGTCAAGACAGGCTTCACTGGGACTATTGAGGTCACCCTGTCCTGACTTCGAGTGAGACGTTCCTGGAGTTCCAAGGGAGGAGATATGGGGCCTATATTCAAGTTCTTGGTGAGCTCGATCCAAATATGATTTAAATATGATTTATGTTGATGAGTTTAAATGATTTATTTTCACCAATATTTGTGTCTTATCACTAAACTTAATTTTTCATACACAAGTATCATGTGCAATCAAGGTTAATTGATTAGGGTTTATTTCAACCATGTTTATGGTATATTATACATAGTGGGATTTTGATTTTGGTACCTATATAAAGTATAGTATGAGGTATATATGTATAAAATAATAACAAACAGTAGTGATACATGATGGTCCCTGTAAACCCCATGCAGCTGCACGCGGTAACCAGTGTCTCAGTAGGCTTTTAAATCATTAGCTGTTGCTTAACTTAACTATACTGCATATTATATTATCTCCAAGAATTGAGAAGGTTTACATGCCTGTTCACTAATTCACTATGAAGCTTAGTAATTAAACTACCTTTGACTAAAGTCTGCACGGTTTTGATTTCTTATCTTTCATTCCAACAAATTTAAGTGGCGCCCCTTTCAAAATAAAAAAAACTGTTTGATGATTATCTGACCAACCCACGTCCCAGCTCTCCAGACACATTGGCTGCCGTTTCCTTGACAACACCATTTTGCTGTTTTTGGTATTTATTTTGGGGTAAGTCTCTAGAAAGTGCAAAAGGTGGTGACAAGATTTGGCGACGCAACGTGTAGGGCCAGTTTTTGAATTTTTTTGAAAGTAATTTTTATGTGAAAGGCACTATTGGTGAATTATTTCATATGTTTATATTTTTTTATATCTGCATAACATTTTCTGGTACAATTGGTAATTTTTGGGGTCACTTTTGGAAAGGTGAAGTTTAGGTATGTTTCCATGTATGAGCAGTGGATTTTCTGGTCCAACAGGGACAATAACTGGGGTATTTTTTTGAAGTATTGAACATACTTATTGAATTTTTCATGAAGGTAATTGCAATGTTACATTCACTTTCTTTTTTGGGTATGGTATTGTGACCATCCTTATTTTTTTTGCATAATTAGGTGATTTCAGCTTTCTTTGCAAGAGAAAATTACAGACTTTGCAGGATTTGGCATACTGACATTGTAAGTTCTCATAAGTTGAGTTTATTTGCATTTATGGAATTTTTTTATGAGAAAAAATATTTTTTTCACTGGTGTCAGCTGACACTTATAAAATTTTTGAGAAAATTGAATTTTCGGAAAATTAGCACTATACAGGGTGATAGATGCTTGGTATGCAATATTTGATAAATAATTGCGGATTTTTTTTTGCCATGTTTGATGAAAACATGATGTAGTTACTTGATATGAATTATTTGAGTAATATTTTCGGATTTTTTGTTCATACTTGATACAGGCACTATACAGGGTGTATTTGTTTTCAAATATTTTGAATGCAATTTCAATACCTTTATGATTAAAGGAATTACATCATCATTGTACAGAGTGATAAAGCTGTTTGGAAATATTTTTTTGAAATATTTTTTGGAAAATTTTTTGAAAAGATTTTTTTGGAAAAAATTTTTTGAAAGATTTTTCTGGACAATTTCGAACTCTTGAATTTTTGCAAATTTTTGAATTCTTGTAAATTTTGACAGTCACTTCCCAAAATGTCGGACGGTATGAAGGTGAAACATCTACTTATAGATGAAATAAATTATGAGTTACGTATACGGGGTGTTGTTACTCAAAGGGACATGAATGATAAAAGAAAAGCCTTAGGAAGACTTATAAAAACCAATACGGTTCTGATTCCCGATTCTACTTATACTTTTGCTTCTGAATGCATAGCAATTGAGAATACCTTTGATAGTATTAAAGCTGCAATTCCTGATTTTGAAGGTTCAACCGAAGATTCTTTATACCTACGGTTAAGATCTAGATTCATTCATATTATAGGGAGAATAAAAAGAATGCCAATTGATTCAGCAGTTGCAGCTGAGGTATTATTTAAAAATGAAGCTCTAGCAACAGCTTTAACTTTAGAGGCTGATCTTGATGAGCGAATTACAGAGCCTGTCGATCAATTAAATTCTAATGTAAATTTTTCTTCAACCTTTGCGCAACAACCACCTGCCGTTATACAGGGTACTTCTAAAATAGCTTCCATCTATAAGTGGGACCTCAAGTTTGATGGAACTAAAAAAGGTTTAGGCGTCAAAGCTTTTCTTGAAAGAGTCACTGAGTTGTCTGAGGCAAGACATGTTACTAAAGTTCAACTGTTTGAGTCGGCAGTAGATTTATTTTCGGGCAAAGCATTGTTATGGCTGCGCCATGTAAAAGATTCAGGTAATGTTCACGATTGGGACTCACTTGTTAAGAGATTAGAAACAGATTTCCTTGATAAGGATTATGATGAGGACTTATGGGAAACCATAAAGAATCGGAAACAGTCTGATGATGAATCAGTTGTTATTTTTGGAGCCATCATGGAATCTTTGTTTAACAGATTGAGTTCTCCCCCTGCAGTAGTAACAAGAGTTAAATGGGTGCGGAAAAATTTGAAACCAGAGTACATGTCACGATTAGCATTAAATGAATATAATACTGTAGATGAATTATTACATGATGCAAAGATTTTAGAATCTGTTTTGAAGGATACTCAAGTTAGGTCAATTTCCAAGAAACCTCAGGTTAACGTTTTGAATTTTGAAAGTGAAGCTGGGACTTCAGGTAATTCCAGTACTCAAGGTAGGTATCATGGTAGATTTCAAAATAACAGAGGTGGAAATAGAAATTTTTATAGGAATTCAAATTACAGAAAAAAGAGTAGTAATTCAGGCAACCAAACTTCTACTGTGAATACTTCAGTTGCTAATGCTGGTGGAGCCAAAACTGTTGTTTGCTGGAATTGTAAAGGGCCTAACCACACTTTTCATGCTTGTACACTTAAAAGATCAAAATTTTGTTTTAAATGCGGCAACCCTGGAGTAATAAGCTCAGAGTGCACTAAGTGTTCGGGAAACGAACAGTAGGGGCAGTTTCCAGTGGCCGAACACCGCTCCGAAAATTTGAGGCCACAGTTCAGTTGAACTTAAATAATCATAGATTATCTGGTGAACAGAAATCTCACTTGAATTTTGTTAAACATTATTTTCTACATTTAAAAACTCTAGTAACTGCTCCCATTTTTACAAGAAAAGGCTTAGATAACCGACCTTATATAAATGTTAATATTTTTGATAATGCATTCATTGCACTTTTGGACTCTGGTGCCAATCATTCAATTCTAGGACGTGAGTTTCCAGATATTGAAAGTTTTTTTGAAATCTCGGTTAATATTTCACCTTATAAATTTGTCACGACTGCAGATGGTGCAAAACAA